TGTTTTGCAGTCTTTCAAAATCCCTCTCTCTCTCTGCTTCATCCTGATTCCAAATACTACATATAAGATGAGGTGATAGAGCATGAATTGCTAAAGCAGCATGGGGGTTAGTCTGGCTAATATGCTGGAATGGATTACTTTTCATGGGCCTGAAGCTGTTCCTGCTAGGAACTGAAGAGCATATAATGGTCCCTTGTAAAACTCCCATGCAATTGGACATGTGTGAGGTCCTGGAGCTTTATAATTCTGAAACTAATTAGCCTCACTTTCACTGCTTTAACCCTTTGTCCCTCACACAGAGACCTGTTCATGAGTACAATACATCGACTTGCAGTTTTATGATTAGCGTGTCTGCTTCTGCACTCAGATTAAGTGCCCTAGGATATTAGACGTGTTCCTCTGAGTGAAGTCATCAAGAAAAGAAAACCCTCTTTGTGACCTCTTCACTCTCCCCACAGCTCCCCACAATTTACTCGGCCTTCATTTCCTTTTATTCTCACATGTTCTCCCTCTTTAACAGTGGCGTCAACATAAACTCGTTCCCCTTTGGACATCTCACGGCTCTTGTAAATGTAAAGGGATATAAAGAGTATTTCATCTTGTAAGAGGTGTATATCATTGGATGATGTCTGTGAGTGAGCGCCTTTCTGAGAGCTGTTTGATTTGGTGTGCCTGGGTATTTGTAAATGTGTGGTCATGTACATATCATGTGGATCAGTATAAATAGTCTACCTCATGTCTCGACATTAGAAAGAATTATTTACTGTGTTTCCTATGGCTGCTTTATACTTAACTTATGATTCAGTGGAAACACAAATAAGAGGACATTGGGGCTTTTATTGTGGCGGGTCAAAGGGGACTTTTTTTTCCCTTTTCTTTTTTCTCCTGAGAAACAACCAAACAAAACTTTTCATACATTTTTCCAGCTGCTGGTAACTAAAATAACAGATGTTAATGTCTCATTATATATGCATTAGCTTAGTGGCCACCTTTATGCACACGCAGCCATGTTATGTGAACAGCCGTGCTGTTTCCCTGCTGCTTATTTGCACAATATTGAGTTATTCAAAGCCAGCAAAAATTGTGACCGCAGCTCAAATATTACGCTCGGAGCTGACACCTTAACGTGCCACCGAGGCTGTTGGAGGGATTACCTCATACTAAAGAAGGTGATTCTCGAAGAAAAACATGCTCACTTTTCTCGCCCCTTCATACACAAGCCCTTAGACTCACTACAAACTGTGTTTCGTAACTGCTGTGCAGACCTTCTCTTCTGTCTTTCAATAGACTTTGTGCATTTGTTTTTCTTGACATCTCCAGGTGCATGTATTTCAACTACAAATCCGCTAAGGGCATTAACACTCACTTGTCTAGACTGCAGATTGATTAATAAACCACAAATGTATAAACTGAATTTGAAAAATCTTCTCCCTTTTCTCTCTATTCCAGGGTTGCAATGGCTGTTGTGCCCATTTTCAGCTCCTTTCTCACTCTAAGGGAGCCAATCTTTCATCTCATTGACTTCCCCTCACAAGCAGAGGACTTGAACATGATTTGGGCTCTAGCTGTGTGCCTGAGATGACTATTTTAAGGATATCCACTCTTAACTGACATCACACAGAGCCAAAAGTGTAAAGAAGCGCCCTTGATAGTATCAGAATGTCTCCTCTTTCCAACCTTTGCTTGTTAAATTCACAAAAAAACTGGGCTGATAATGGAAGAGATCTTGGGAATAGGACCTGGGTAAGACTTGTGGGTTCATGGTTGGAGTTAGGAACGGTTATGGTAATGGCTGTGGCTACGGTTTTTCAGAATGGGATGAATCAGCTAAAATATTTGGTCAGGTTTTAAGTGCCGTTCTCCCTGCGAGGCTTGTGGTTTTAACCAAACTATTTAACCGCTATAGGCCTTGGTTGTTCTTGAACCATTTGGTGTTTTTTCTTTCTTTCTTTCTCTCTTTTTTATGAAAGCCGGCATAATGCCCTACATGATGTTAAGGTGATGAGTTCTCCACTCAGGGAGCGGCTCAAATGTTAACCACAAAAACAATCACCTCCTCTTCCCCCCATGACACAGAACCCTCACACTCAGTGTACCTACTGTAATCTGTCTGTGCCGCATGGTTTAGGAAATGTCTGGCGGTCTGGTCCTGCACATGCACAGCTTAGGGGAAATGGAAGCAGAGTACCTTGGAGCTCACCTCCTCAACGCTGATTATATTAGAAGGCAGACGCAGCAGTAAGGGAATTGTGTCTCCTCGCCTGTCTGAGCAAGGCACTTGAGATGCTTCTGAATTTGGGTTTGGAAGATGCCGAGTCTGCTTTGGCGGCTCAGAGCCTGCGTGGATTAAGGTTTTTGGCTCGTTTTAAGTGATGTCCAATGCATGTTCAAGAAAGGTGATTACCTAAGGGAAATCTATGCTCCATTTGCAAAGCTGCGGTGAAAGAGATGCAAACAAAATGATCTTGTAATTATGACTCCATATGCTATCATCATAATCATCTGATAATATTAACACAGCTAATAATCCTCTCGTTCATACAGTTATGTGGAGAATGCGAGTACGCCCCACAGGTACTCTTGGCTTTTTTCAGAAATGATATGATGATGAGAGATGAAGTGCCCTTCCATAGAAAACCATCAGAGCATGGCTTAAAACGGCCACAGGGAGGTGCAAAGCTGCAAAAGATAGATATAAAGCAAAAGTGATGATCACTTCTGTAACAAAATGAATGAGTGGTGCCCTTTCACCGTTCATTGCGACACTCTCTTTTATTTCTTCGTTAATGTTCCTTTTGTGCTCTGTCCTTGTGTGTTTTTGGCTCTGTTGCTGTATTCTGTCTTTTTTCGGTCAGATCTGTTTTGTATAATGCGTCACCCGTCCTGCCAGACGAAGCTTTCGTGCTGTAACTTTGGATCCTGCTCGTTGTTTAATGGTTGAAAGAGGCTTTCATTCATCATGAGCCCCCTCCACTCCACGTTCAGACTTGGGGTTTGTTATGATGTGTTTTGAATGGAATGATTTCATGTGAAAGTGGGTGAAACTTAACAGGTTTTCAAGTATTTTTAAGCCACCCTGTATAACTGCTTTCTAGAAGTCTTCTGCTTTCTCATGTGTACCAAGAGTGTGTGTTCTGTTACGTGGGTGTTCTTGTGTGAGAGAGAGCTCGTATGAGTCCAGCGGTGGCCAGACAGACGGGATTGCATTTTTAACATCCACTGCAGACCTTTTCTACAAATTAAATACTTGATAAACAGATTGCAAAGGTCTCCCAAGTGCCTGTCTGTGACTTGTCCCTGTTCGTGCACAGTTTCTGTGATGCCTTGCAGAATGGTGGGCATCCAGAGCTGCCTGTTAAATTGCATCTGCACCAAAAACCGCAGACCCCCATACCAGACGAGCTCCCCTGCCAGCCAGCCAGAAAGTCGGCCAGCGACCAAACGGCGTCTTACCAACGCGGCTCTCTTTTTCTCCTGTTTATTTCTCTTAACATCTTTTTCTGCGCTTTCGTGATTTCCCATAGATTACATTTTGATTTGAACACTTATCGAGAGATCGTTGATTCTTCCTTACAGCATAAGCAAGCATAAACCACAGACTAATCATAATTTGTAAAAGGAACCCCAAAAATCCCCAAACAGTTTGATAAATTGCTCTAAAACAGGAATTGAACAATCTAGCTATGCAATTATTAAACAGTCACAAAAAAAAACAACACACACACACACAGCAGGAGAAAAGCTGTAAAGGAGACCTGGAGTCAGCACATATGGTGGCAATAAACACACCTTTTTTTTCTGAGCATCTGTGATTTAAAAACCACTGTGAATACCCCCCAATTACTCCTAATGATGCTGCCAATTAACAGCAATGTGCAATTTTCAGATTAGCAAATGTCAGTTAGTGTTGGTGTGTGCTTTCAGAGTGATCGCTCTTCTTGCTGTTGAATGCAGAGACTAACAAGCTTCAAACTCACAAAATGAACACGACAAGACAGGCATTCATAATAAAAGAAGAGATTTGTGGATGCCATTATTTATTTTTTCATGTAACTACACAGGATGCTGCTATAACACACTGACCGGGAGCCTTATATGATTCATAGTGACTGAGACCTGCTATAGCATGGCTACAGTGGTTCTGAATTCTACTTGTGCTTAAAATAATGACCCAAAGTTATCAAAGTAACTGTCAGAAATCAAACCAGCCTCCAGTGCTGCCACTAAGCCCTATTATTATTCTGTTCCCTAAATGGATGATGAGCCAGTTTAAAGAAAGCAATTCAAGGCACATAGTTTTTCATGGCTGTGCGGTGCATTGTCTTGTTCTTTCTGAGTTCTTAAGCACGACATGGTTGGCATTTAAAAACAAGCAGCGTGAGCCCGAAATGACATTTTGGATGTCACACCATCACAAAATAACTCCTGACAGTCATCTGTTCAAAGACAGCTGATTAAAAGAGTTCACGGGAGAGTTGCAGTGGAAACAGGAGTCTTTAACACGCTGCTTGAAGCCAGCACACCTACAGTCGCTGCTGGTCAGCAGTCTGATTGTGGTTGTGAAAATGAAGAAATGAAAGTTACGCAGTTGCCAAGTGCCATCTAAAACAAACACAGCCTTAGACTATGCTGAACAAATACTATACTGTAATAACTGTATGTTATTTTTGTGCCTAAATAATGTGTTTGCTCATATAAATTTTAAAGTATCATTTTTTATAAATACCCAGTGTCTGTCTTTAACATATCTGAAAAAGCAAGACACTATACGCTTCAATTTCTCATAGAGGACATAAGGAAAAAGATGCCACTGCATTACTTCAGAAACCTGAAGTAAATTCATTTAACAGCCATTACCAATAAATGTACACTCACGGAGCTAAATTCTCGCATCACTTAAGTGATTTTCTGAATGTCTGGCATTGTAAAATGTTCAGTAAGATGGACCAAAGAGTGAAAGTGGGTTTTATTTTTCTGTGTCCTCTCTCTGTTCCCTTCAGTTCTTTGCGTGTGACACCTAAAGCCTGGGATGCTGTTGACCATGCTGCTGGCTCCTGTCTCTGTGCTACTGATGCTTGTGGTGCCTGCTTTTGCCGGAGGGTACGCCCCCATACCCCACATGAAGTACATTCAGCCCATGATGAAGGGGCCTATTGGACCTCCGTTTCGCGAGGGCAAAGGACATTATGTTGGTGAGTAGTTCCTGTGAGTGTGGCATATGTAGCCCTTTTATGTCTCATTTGGTCCTCTAAAAGCAGTCTAATAGGTCCCCTCACACTTTACTGATTGGTCATTTAGGTCATTGGAAAACGCTGATAACTGTCATTTTACAACCTCAGTTCCAAAAAAGTTGCAACACTGTATAAAATGTAAATCAAACAAACAGATTGTACAGATTTGTAAAACTCATAAAGTTGTAAAGAAAAGCGTCTGGACTTCTTTAAGTTGCTTGAAGACGTTTCACCTCTCATCCGAGAAGCTTCTTCAGTTCTAAGGTCAAATGGTGGAGAGTCCCAGATATAAACCTAGTGGGAGTAACCCCCCACAGAGGGACAAAAGGACCCCCTGATGATCCTCTAATCGCCTGAGCCAAGGTGTGAAACTGGATGTGGGTTCCAATCAGCCAGAGTTTCGGGTGAGCTCATTGTGAAACCTGGCCCCACCTTATCATGCGAATTCCTGAGATCAGATGGCCCAGGATGTGAGTGGGCGTTAAGGCGTCTGGGAAGGGATCTCAAAACTGGATTATAGATGGCAGAGAGTTGGTGTCGTAAACCCCCGCCTCTGTTCAAAGATGGTCGCTCACAGTGGACATAAATGGCTTCTTTCACTCCTCTTTCAAACCATCTGTCCTCTCTGTCCAAAATGTGAACATTGGCATCCTCGAAAGAGTGTCCTTTATCCTTAAGATGCAGATGGACAGCTGAGTCTTGTCCTGTGGAGGTGGCTCTTCTGTGTTGTGCCATGCGCTTGTGAAGTGGCTGTTTGGTCTCTCCAATGTAGAGGTCTGGACATTCCTCGCTGCACTGTACAGCATACACCACATTGTTAAGTCTGTGTTTTGGAGTTTTGTCTTTCGGGTGAACCAGTTTTTGACACAACAACATTGTCATCCCTTATGTAGCCGGTGTATCAGAAAAACTCAGATTAATGCTCATCGTGCAAAGACCTCAACATGGTCCAGAAATGCTGCCGACTTCTCTGGACCAAAGCTCATCTAAAAGGGACTGAGGCAAAGTGGGAAACTGTTTTTTGTTAAAACAAATCAAAAGAATCAATGTGTTTTTAGAAAACATGCATCCTCTGCACTAAAGAGGAGAGGGACTATCCTGCTTGTTATCAGTGATCAGTTTAATGGCCTGCATCTCTGTTGGTATGGGGGTGCATTAACACCTATGGAACTAGCAGCTTGCACGATGCTCGATGCTGAAAGTAAAATACAGGTTTTAGAGAAACACACAGTATGCGCCCGTCTTGATGACGTCTTTTTCAGGGAAGGCCTTGAATATTTGAGAAAGACAATGTTGAACTGCATATTGCATCTGTTACAACAGCGCAGCTTTGTAGTAGAAGAGTGCGGATTCTAAACTGGCCTGCCTTCTGTCCAGACCACCTCAACAAAAAACACAACAAAGACCCAGGACTGTTAAACAGCTAGAATCCTCTATCAGGCAAGAATGGGACAACATTCCTTTCCCAAAAGTCCAGCGGTTGGTCTCCTCAGTTCTAACTCATTTATAGACGGTTGTTTAAAGAAGAGAGGATGCTATACAATGAGAAACACTGCGCTGTCCCAACATTTATGAAACATTTACCTGACATCAAATTCAAAATATGACCTTAGTATTTTCTTAAGATGGTACATTTTCTCGGTTTATACATTTGATGTTTTCTAAAAGTTTTTTTTTTAAATTTAAATAAAATATGGGATTTTGAGATTTGCATATGATTGCATGCAGTGTTTTATAAAACACACATTTTACATTTTACACAGCATCCCACCCGTTTTTGAAACTGGGGTTATGAACTACCTCCATAAAATGTAGCCTTATGTCTAAAGCACCAAATCACATGAAGCTCTGACTGCACATTGTGTGCTGAAATCGCTCGTCTTACCAACTGGATATCACCATTTATTACATATCCCCCAGGAGAGAATGTAAAAAAAAAAATCTAGAAAAGATTAAATCAGTTCTAATCTAACTCTAACTACACCATTCGCAAGGCCAGTGGCACCATAATTAAAAGATATAGGGCATAATAGAGCATCAAATTGGAATATGTCATTGGTCTTTGCTGGAATTCACCTTTCAGTAGGTGTCACCAGAACCACGTTTTTGCACTTGGTCTGACAGACATACAGACAGGCTAATAAGATGACAACTGTCCCAGTCATGGCAGACAAAAAAAATCAAAGACCTATACAAGGAGTGTATCTCAGCTAAAGGCATGCTTTGTATAAATAGAATTGAAAAGAATGTGGCAGAAGTTGGATTTCTGATATATGTGGTACATTGAATATGAGTTTGCTGCCACTGTGTGGTAATGTGTCCACACTGCATTACTAATGAAATTATTCAGTCCTCTAATGGAGCAGCTGACTGCCTCTTTTCCACAGTCGGCTAAGACAGCCTGACTTTTTGGGTTGGCTTAATATCTCAAAAAATAATGCCATATCATTATCTCTGGTTTGAGGCACCTAATTTTTCTTCTGTGCTATATTAACGGTGCTGTAAAATGTTATATGTTCAAGTTTTTCCTAACAACCTAATCTTCTGACTGCTTGTGCTCCCCATCCTATCAGAGGGACTGCATTTATTTAAATGTAAACATTTATAAATGTACAATACTACAGTGTGCACAGTGCATAGCATGCTTTTACTACTTTGTTTTAGATTTTATAGCTTTTCTCAGTTTTGTTGGCTCACTTCTCAAACAAACAACAGTTGAAGTTAGCAAAAAATAATTAGAGAAAGTCTTGAATGAATGAAATGAAAGAGAAACAGTGAGAGCATTTAGCATTCTCAGCACAGCGCCCTACAGTGTGAACAGGTTTTGGCTGTTTAACACTTTTTGAAGTAGGTTGTGTCTCAGTTGAACAGCTTTATTCTCCAGAATTATTTCTGTGAGTCATCTGATGTTGTGTAATAAATTTAGTTGTTTTTTTTTTTTTTAAACTCTGCGATCCCACAGTTGATTAGTGAGAAGTGACTTGAGCACATCAGAGTTATGAAAATGTGTCAACATGAAGGACCAGGTACTCAGGTAAACATTTTACAGAGGAAAGAGGATGCCCATAGATAAGACATATGGAGGGATAAGCCCCTGTGTGAAGTTACTGAGAAGCTGTGGCACTGTGGACTAGTTCTGTTCTGTGCACTGCTCTATAAATTGTCTGTGCTTTTTTCTCTTTACTTTGTTGTGTGACCACTGCAGGAAAAATAAAATCGCTCTCTAAAAGTACATGCAAATGTAAGTGCTCTTTTGCATTACAAAGCAGCATGTAAAGCCTCTCGTGCTGTTTATATCAGCGTAGTATAGCATTCACTTTCATACACAACAGAAGTCAGTTACCCCAGAAAATAATAGTCTGGTACGGTGCAGTTCTTCTGAATTATTTTGGCATATTTGTCTTAACATTTTTGAAATTTCTTTTTTTTTTTTTTCATTTCACATAACAGCTCATACATGTAGCAAAACAACCCACAAACAGCTGCATCTCATCCCAAACATTAAATTATGTGTCAAAATTAGGGAGCTGTCAGTAAGTAAGTTTTAGCCACTATGTAAATTATAGTGGTCAAAATGTTTACACACTTTGTCAGATTCTGAAATGCTGAAATCCTCATCTTCTAATTTCGTAAAAGTCTTTTCATGCAAGCTGTCACAGCAAATTCTTACTGTACCAAACCATTTCCTCCTATGGTCACACAATACACTAAACTACAGTAAAAAAAACAAACAAACAAAAAAACCTTAATATACACAACACTATACAGAACAAAATATGTAGCATAACAATAGCAAAAAAGAAAATATTATCCTGCTATGTGCAGGAAGAAAACAGCTCTGTGGATCACTATGCAGCCTGTCAGTCCTTTTTCTTTGGCCTCATATTTTCACAGACCTCACACATTATGCTATCCCTTGCAGTAAAACAGCAATTGTGCTAAGTCATTTGCAAACACTAGTAATGATCTTTCTGGTGTGCTCAATAGCAAACTGCTTGAAAATTTCAGCTGTCTGTAGGGGGCAATATTGGTCCATGGTTCCATTAGGAATGCCATGAACTATTTCTGGAAAGTGTTCAAAGGCCTGGCAAGGGTGACATTCTAGGGATGAACAGGATGCAGCAAACAGGAAACCACATCAACCTTAAACCAAGGTTTAAGAATAACAATTCATATGACTAAAGGACTAAATGGATCAGATAGGGCAAGCTCATCAAGTAATAGACATTTTGCAATCAACCTCAGTTCTATTTGACAAAGATCTCCTTGTTATTAGCTAACATTCACCATTTAATCAGACTTGGAGTGCAATAGACAGGAACTGTGTTGCTAAGTAACTGTGTTATTTGTTTTTTTTCCTGTTCAAGCCTGGCTGTGTTGCACTCCACTGTTATAGGAAAGATTAATGACAGAGTTTACAACCTGTGGCACACTTTTAATGCTGTTTTCCTCTATGGTTCAAAATCAAAAGTAAACTCCAATAACCTTAACAGGAACTCCAACTGAGTCAGTTAGGACAACATCAAAGGTAACTCAGTGACAAGTGTTTGTCACTTGTGATTACATAACAAGTGATGGACTGGTGACCTTTCCAGAATTTAGTCTAATAGAGTACCTTCAGACTGGGTAATATTCAGCCACTCACAGCACTGATAAAGTAAAAGAAAATGAAATGGAAATGAATTATGCCACTGATTAAGATATGACTTTTCAGTCTCTAAACTCATACTGAAGTATGCAAAGTATTAATTTCTTAGATAATAATCATGTAATATATTTTGTGCATTTCTCGAATTTTCAGTGTTTCTTGTATGTAGATAATTAATTCTTTGATTTCACAACAGAAGAACACAACCAGCCTGGTTTTATGCCTTCTCTTTGTAGTATTAGTTAAACTCTTATTTAAAAAATTACCCAGTATTTTTACAAATGAAAAATTTCTTCAATAAAAAATATCTTTTGATTCAAACAGTTCTTTAATGATAAACTCACAGACACTTGTTGATTGAAAAGATGGATAGTCTGTCAGTTTCCATAACAGCTAAGTACAAAGTAGTATAAAGTAGTCTAGAGAATCTTATCTATTCTTCTCAAAGAATTCAACTAATTGTATTACAGATAGTTATTAAAATCCAGTCACCATAGTAGTGTGGATTGAGATGACATCTTTTCTCTCGGACATCAGCAATTTAAAAAAATACTTACTTAAAGTACTTAATAATAATAATAATAATAATAATAATAATGATGATGATGATGATGATGATGATGATGATGATGATGATGATGATGATGATGATGATAATAATAATACCTGTCACAGTAGTCCTAACAACCTGTACATATTTTTTCTAGATATGCCACCCATGATGGAAGTGAAGGGGGAACCCGGCCCCCAAGGGAAACCAGGACCAAGAGGTCCCCCTGGACCACCAGGCGTTCCAGGGAAACCTGGTCTGGGAAAGCCTGGTTCCCAAGGCCCACCTGGTCCTCAGGGACCTTCAGGCTTTACGGGAATTGGTAAGCCTGGACTTCCGGGACTCCCAGGAAAGATTGGGCCAAAGGGGATGCCTGGGGTTAATGGTGAGGTAGGCCCTCGTGGTGAACCAGGTCTCCGTGGTCCTCCCGGGCATCCTGGGCTTCCTGGCCCAGCTGGACTGTCCTTGAATGGGAAACCTGGGCTTCCAGGTATGAGAGGCCCCCCTGGGGTCCATGGCGAGCCAGGAATAAAGGGTATAGCTGGCCCACCAGGTGATCGTGGGCCTAAGGGCGAGAATGGAAATGGGAATCCAGGGCTTCCAGGTCTAAGGGGTTCTCCTGGCCCAAAAGGGAGTATTGGACCACCTGGTCCTTCAGGTATTGGCACACCAGGACTAAAAGGTTTGCCTGGAGTACCTGGTCCTAAAGGTGATAATGGACTCCCAGGTGATCAAGGACTCCCAGGAGAGGCAGGGCCCCCAGGACTACAAGGTTTGCCAGGGCCAGTTGGGTTGGGGAAGCCTGGGCTAGATGGACTTCCTGGAGCACCAGGTCCACAAGGTCCAAAAGGTGAATCTGGGGCCAGGGGTACTCCTGGAATGCCTGGAACTAATGGCTATGGAAAACCTGGTCCAAATGGACTAAAAGGAGAAAAGGGACATGGTGGATTTCCAGGTCTCCCGGGGGATAAAGGAGAACAAGGACCAACTGGACCAGTTGGGAAGCCAGGACTTGATGGACAACCAGGACCATCAGGACTTCAAGGTCCAATGGGATTGCCAGGAAAACATGGAATACCAGGACAGAAGGGAGAGCTCGGGCCCCGGGGTCCTCCTGGACTGCCTGGCCTTCGAGGTGACCAAGGCCCCAATGGACACTCTGGAAAACCTGGTATGCCTGGGGAAAAGGGCATCCCTGGGCCCAATGGTCCTATCGGAAAACCTGGACCTAAAGGTGAGGCTGGGCATATTGGCCCCCCTGGGAATCCTGGTATAACAGGTGCCCTGGGGCCTAAAGGGGAGTCAGGGTTTATGGGAATTCCAGGCCCCAGGGGCCAGTCGGGCATTCCTGGTCTTCAGGGGCCCATGGGTCCCATGGGTCCACAGGGTCCCCCTGGCCTAAAGGGTGAACAAGGACTTCCAGGGCCTCCAGGGCTGGGCAGGTTGGGTGAGAAAGGTCCTATAGGTCCCCAGGGTCCTCCAGGGAAACAAGGCTCCCCTGGACTTAATGGCATACCTGGGCCTCCTGGCCCTCCAGGACCCCCTGGGCCTCCAGGAAATGGCCATACAGTTGTTGCAGGGCCAGAGAGTTCAAAGTTAGATGGGGGAGAAATTCCAGATGACAGAAAAGGCCCTGCATATAGTCAAGTTCCATTGTCCGCCTCTGTGGCACCAGCCTTCACAGCTGTCCTTACCACACCATTCCCTCCTTCAGGCATGCCAATCAAATTTGACAGGACCCTCTACAATGGGCAAAATGCCTACAGCTCTTCTACTGGCATATTCACTGCTCCTTTATCTGGTATATACTACTTTGCATACCACATGCATGTAAAGGGAACTAGCCTGTGGGTAGCATTGTATAAGAACAATGTACCAGCCACTTACACATATGATGAATACAAGAAAGGCTACATGGACCAGGCATCTGGTAGTGCAGTCTTAGAGCTGAAGGAGGGTGACCAGGTATGGGTCCAGATGCCTTCAGATCAGGCAAATGGCCTATATTCTACAGAGTACATCCATTCTTCCTTCTCAGGATTCTTGCTCTGTCCCACATAACCCTATCTTTTCCTTAAAAGATGTTGCTAGATTGGCACCTCAGTGCAGCCCTTAACCTAAAATACCTGCAGCCATTATAGAAACACAAAACCCATAAAATACTCAATATTATTGCCATAGTCTTTATCTGTCTCGCCCTCAACAGCACAAGCGAAACAAAAACTTTGTGAATGAAGTGAGTTTTTAAAGGCAGGGGAAGGAATTTCATACTGTGTTCTTTATTTCAGTGTCCTTCAAATGTGTGTTTTAGTTGTGTTTTATGTTTGTGTTTTTTTAAGCTTTTAGCTTATTTTAATTATTATATTGTCATAATTTTATTGTTATTATTTGGTCCATGTCATCATTGTTGTTGTTGTTGTTTATTGGATTCAGACTATTTAGTGCCTTACTTTTTAATGTGCTAGAAACCTTCCCGTGTGACTGCACAACCTGCCCACATGCTCTGACACAAGGACGACATCACCAAACTCTGATGGGGGGAGGGGGAGGTCATCGCTGCAGTCATGTTGCCCTGGTGTGTTATTTAAATCATGAATTGCTAGAATTATATTGAAAAGCCAAAATACAACACAATAAATATAGGCATACATTACAATACCAAAATGAAGTATTTGGTGTGGTGTGTTACTATTAAGTTTTACTGAAATTTTTAGGATTTTAAATTGTTGCTACATAAAAAAAAGTTGTGATTGAACTCAGCAACAGTTGGTTTTAGGGTGAGATATATTTAATGATAGTGAACATATGCACCTGTTCAGGGAGTTTCTCTGCTTCACTATGCATTTAGTAACCTACAAATTTCAAATAATAGGTCTTCCTCTTTCTTGTAATTTAGTTTACATGCAGTTCAGAACAATTAATTCTACAAATAAACATGACCTCACATTTAACAAGGTAGACACCTTTAAATTGCCCTTTAAAGAGATCAGCACCACCAAGCAAGACCCCTGCATCACCCCCCACCATCATTCTTTAGGACATTGTTAAAAATGTACACAGTCAGTGTTCACAGGCCAGAAAATAGATAGTGTCTATGGACAAATGGACAGTAAGGACACACATACTGCTGATTCAATGGCCTGTTTCCTTCTGTTTTCCTTCTGTTGATCTGGTTTCATCACTATCCCAGGCATCCTGTTCACACATTCTAACCATCACATCACTGATTTCTAATGTCATTAAAAACCCTTTCCCTGATTCCAAGGGAACCGTCTGCACTGCCACATTAGAAAAAAAATATAATCCTTTAACAACATGATGCAAAATCCACAAAGATTTTGAAAACCTGAGTCTGCTGAGAAAACAAGGAGGCAAAAGGATAAGTAAACAACAACAACAATTCAATTACGTCCTTCACTGCCAGTTTCTGTGTTGTTTTGTGATAGATGTCAGGCAAATAAGAGCAATTTTTAATCATTTGTAGCTCTGAATGACAGGATTTTCTAGTTATTTCTAAATCAAATGTGTCAAAAATTGCTTAACTGCTGAGCTTAGTGTAACATCTGTGGCCAGGATGTTTCAGAACCGGATAATGTCAAAGTGCACGGCTGGAAATGAGAATCAATTTGCCTTTAGTCGATAAATAAGTGAAAGGGTCTGACTGGGGCCTGAAGATTGTGAAATGCAGGTTGTGTAACATTTTAACAAAACCACGCCAGATTTCTGGGAGAGGTGGTAGGTCAGAGGTGTGTTTATTCATTTCTGTTGGATGAAGTATTAAAGATCCACTCTGTGCATGCGTGCACTTGTATGCTTAGTAGGTATACCCTTCAGCCCGTCACTGTGTCACTGCGTGCGTTTGTGTGTGCGGATTTGTCACAATGTTCCCTTGGCGTTCAGGTCCCGAAAACGTTAGTGAGGATAATAATAAACTAAAATTAAGTTACAAAACTGTAGGAACGGCTTACAGTCCCATCAATGTTCCACCAGAAGATTTTGAGTTGTGTTTTTTGTTTTAAAGAGAATCTTGTAGAAGATTTACTTTACAACACTCTAAAGATGAAAGGTGTAAAGGCGTGCAATAACTACTTTGTGCCAAGTCACGAACCAACAAATTTTTTTTAAAAAGACATAAAAAAAGACATACTATGAAATGTACAAAATGTTTATTCACTAGTTGTAGTTACGAATCACAAAAGATAATAAAATCTAGGCAAAACAAAACAAAGGTTGGTGCTTCTATCTAACTTGTGCCGCCCTGACGCTCGTAAACACTGAATTATGACTACCTACATGATGGAAGAATGTCAATGTACACGAGCATGGTGCCAAACATTTAGCCTTCCCATTAGAATGAATGTATAATGTTTGACTGTTTTATGGTGGGTCACAGTGCATAAACAGTAACTCTTCACGTCGCTTTGGAAAATTAGTGTGAGGATAAGGCTTAATCAGTATTTCTATTTCTATGTAATGCACTTACTCTTAGCCCTTTCCGTCTCATAACATGAACACATCGACAACTGCTATGTATCATTGTTGCTATGTGAGTCTACAAAGCAGTCTCGTTATGTACTGTATGTTGCCTTTTTTTTTTTTGAATCACCTCCTCTTTTTCGACACACGGTGAAACGGTGATGAGAGTTACATGCGGCTGTTACGCTCTGTCCTCATATTTTCTTAGACAATGTCACTTGCTTGCTGAGTTTGCTCTGTGTGCAAATCATTTAACAAGTGTCACTGAGATCCATGTACCGCAAATGTTTTGTTTTTCTTTATTAGGAAAAAAAAAGAAAAAAAATCACAAAAGCCTTGCTTCGGTTCTTAAGGGATATATGTTTGTTTTAGTTTCAGTATACAAACGGCCATTCCCATTTGCACATGAAATTAATGAAGATGTATTTATACATTTATGATAATTTAATAGGGATGCCAAAACTGACCACCGAAGCCTGGGACATATAAATGGTATTTAACAGCATCGATGAGTTAAGAGCATTTACAACTTGTAGTTAGCATTCTAGAGTTGTTTGTGAAGGATTATTTGTATTATTTTCTATTTGTGTAATGTACAATGTATCAACGTATAGGTTTTTTTTTGTCTTACAAGGCTATTGTGTGCACTATGCAATAGAATTTGGGTATAAAATGCACTCCTTTTTGATTGAAAATGTTTGTCTGCTTATACAAAATCTACAGTACTTGATTGTATTGATACCACGTCAATAAAAACAAAGAAAAAAATGCCTTGGATGCTGGCGTGAAACTTCATTGACTTTCTGTTGTATGGTTATGTAACAAAGAAAATATATATTAACTGGAATACAGAGGCTACTACTACATCTTAAAAATAATCAGTAACACTTAGTAAAAATTCAGTAGCTCGTGTGCGGAGCAATCTGTTGCACGTAAAAGAACTGACACTAGAGGGAGATATACAATTATAAACAGCGTTTCAGGCCTCAGAGAGATGGGTGATTGCATAGTAAGTTTAGGACTGAAAAGAGGAACAGGTAGACTTTTCCTTTTCAGGTCAGCTCGCTGGATGTAGATGGAAGCAACACATATCTTTGCATAAATATTTTGTATGTTGAATATATGGGTTATCACGTAAGCAGAAGAGTATAAATGGATGGATAGATAACTACATTAAATGTGGATAAACAAACATATGAATGAGCTGGCTTTTAATTAAAACAACTAAACTAACTCTGATGCGTGACTGGAGGCGATTCAACAGTTTGTACTTTTCGAAACAAAACGGTTCTTGTAGCCAATCCAAAATGTGCTTAGATAAGAATAAAATCTATTTTTAAAAAACAGCCCATGAGTTCAGGGATAATATGGTGCTATTACTTGCTGGAACTGTCGTCACCATGGTGAGCTGTCATCAGTCAACCGGATTCTTCTTACGTCGTACTGACGTCAGACCATCCATGCTGCATTCGAGAGATCCCGGTAATTCTGGCGCAGTGACCGCAGATACAACCTGATGCACATACATGTGCTGTTATAGAGAGAAGTAATAGAAGATATGAAAAGTTACCTACACTAAAGCAAAGTGAGGAACGACCTTGAAGCTAATCCCTTCAGACGTTGCCATGCATGTCACTTAAAATTTATTCCAGTTTCCGCTTCCTGATAGTTAAATTGGTGACGAGGAAACACTCAAACAAACAAGAAAAAAAAATGCTAGGATGATCTGGGATACACGCGTCTGTCGTTTAAAGTTTTCCGAGGTTTGCAGATTTCTCAGGTGGCCCTCATTTTGTTGACTATTAATTCGCACTGCCTGGTCGACATTTTTCCGACGGTCCCTGAAGGTCTTGTACAAACTGAGGAGGAGGTTCCTCCCCGACAACAGTTCCCGACCTCCGACGAGATCTCAGGCTGCCACACTAAAGAGGAACAAAAAGGCGATCTGACAGCGCTTTCTGCACTCCCTCCACTTTCTCCGGGGTAGTCACGGGATTTCAATGTTCAGCTTGCTCTTTGTAAGTACTCAATGACTAAAAGATCTCAGCAAACCTCTGGGAACTTCTTTCTGCCTCGATTGAATGTAATTCTAGTGCTATAGATCCGCTAGAGCCCACTGAAAAGTTGAGTTCCATATGTTAGGTGATCGCCACACTGCCGGGCAGCCAAAGTAAGTTGCATGAGGAGTCGTCCGAGAATAGTGTCCAGTATGTAGCCACGTTAATGGTAGCTCGCAGAGCAAAGCTTAAGACGGTTTAATCGTGTGCTACAATCGGTGTTGAAAATCCCGTTAAAGGTATGAATGTTCATTCTCACTGCCTCAGATATCCGTGATATCCACACTTGAGTCAATTACCTTTGTCTTGATTGTTGCAGTGCTGCTGGTCTAAAAGATTGCTGCTAAAAGCAAAGTGCGTTAGCTAGCCCGCTAGCTAACAAAGCTGCGCTAGCTTGCTATCGCGGCTATGGCTTTTTCCCTAAAGAAGAAAATCGCTGACTAGCATTAGGACTACTAACACGACTATGTCATAGCTTGTTTTTCTTTTAGAACAGGATACGTTTAGTTGTATTCATAACGTGGTGTTTTCTAAACTGACCGTCGTTCGGAATACCACAAGTGCTAGCGCTACCTTAGCGCTACACGGTGCAAGGGTGTACAGGTTACCGTAGAATTTCTTCTGAACAACGTGTATCATATTGGCAATGAATACTTGTGTTAACGTTAACAATTGTCCTGGCTAGTAGTGCTACTGTTATGTGTATAAGATGCTTAAGTTATTTGTAGTTGTGGAAAGCTGCGTGGTAACTATATGGCGACTAAGCTAGCCAGCTGCCTTCCGCC